TGAATGTAAATACCATCTCTCCAGACAAGTTAGCAGGGGCTGGAGCTGGAGCTATCTAGATATTTGGTGGGGGAATCTGTGTGATACTTACAGTCATTACCGTGCCATGGCGTTCCCTGTAACTTGGTTAGAGATTGCTGTTTGCATTTGTCCCCAAGGATGCACTTTGATCAAACGAATTGCATACAGCTCAGAGGACCCCAAGTGCAGAGTGACCGCCAGGCCACTCACTCATTATTACAAACGCAGTCCTCGGTTGCTACGCCTGCTGACTTGATCCCCCCCCCCTCTATATTTTATTTCATTCCTTTTTTTTATTTTTTTTGCTTCATTTCATTTTAGCCTTCATTATTTTTTTTTTCCTCGCGAGCATATTCTAAATTTAGTAGGCATGCAGTCGTGCACTCACAAAAGGCAGCTGAAGCCGGATCGACCATTCCTCTCCTGATTCCGTATTATATAGCTCGTATTGCAATACCATCATTTGCAATTGTGCCCATCAGAGCGTAAATATATTGATATTTCTTTAAGGATGCTCGCCGCCAATGCTCCGGTACTTCCATAGGGGAGGGACTTGCAACTTATCGGCATTGCATCACCTTCTGTTTTAAAAAATCTGATGGCACAAGGTTTACAACTGGGTAAATATTGGATCTCGGGTGGAATCGGATTGCGGAACCATTTTATGCAAAAAGAGAGAGAGGGAGAGAGAGGGAGAGAGAACCTCTCCGAGAGTCACCTCATAATAATTATTCATGCTCAGCGGAGAGCTCGGCGAAGTCAATTGCTCTGCCAATCCCGGAGTTTCTGAAACTACATGCAATCTAGACACTGGAAATGGGTTTCCTCCAAATATAGGTCAACAGCGCTTTTTTAATATTAATACGTTTAAGCCCCACCTTCGGTGAGAGAGGGAGAGAGAACCTCTCCGAGAGTCACCTCATAATAATTATTCATGCTCAGCGGAGAGCTCGGCGAAGTCAATTGCTCTGCCAATCCCGGAGTTTCTGAAACTACATGCAATCTAGACACTGGAAATGGGTTTCCTCCAAATATAGGTCAACAGCGCTTTTTTAATATTAATACGTTTAAGCCCCACCTTCGGTGCCAGGGCAGGACTCGCCGGGAAGGACTAGGCGGGGAGTGGACGCGGGGAAGGGGGGGTGGGGGGTGGAATTTCCCAAACTCTCCCCGGT